AATTCAACCAACTTCAACTTGTTGCTAGGATCCAATACAGCAGCAACCCCCAACATGATATGACAATCACTCCAATATTTTTCATACTTTGCAAGCATTTTCTTCGTCATTTCTTGAACCAACACATTTGAACTCTTCACCCATTCATCTAATTTTGATTTTATCTCACATATATGAGCAAAATAAAAATTTGATGTAGGATAAAGAGTTCCAGAAAATCTTCAACTTTCCATATATTTCAATTGCAATTTTCCAATCCTCATTACTTGGCTCACTACTGTAATTTCTCTCTCGACATTAAATTCGTGGGAACACATTTTTATAAATAATAGTCGTTTCTAACATCAAATAAGTAAAGTTTCAATGAGTTTTGCAATCTAGAATTAACCTTCTAGAACAATTGATATGCAATTGACGAGCAACTTCTTCAAATTTCTCAATTCTAGAAGGTGAAGCAGTCCAATAAATCACACTATCACGCACTTTTTCAATTGCACCATTAGTTATTTCCAACCCATCTCTAACAATCAAATTTAAAATATGTGCAGAGCAACGTATATGAAGTACATTTCCATCCATCAGTATATCTTTTGATGACAGTTTTCCCAAAATTTGTTGAATCATCGAATCATTGTTAGTACAATTATCAACAGTAATAGTTGATAATTTCCTATCAATATTCCAGTCCATCAAACACAAATGAGGACATTTGATAAGATTTCGGCGGTATGAGGAGCTGGTACATAAACAAACCTATGAAATGAAAGAATTGTTCGTAACTCTTATATATCTATACAACAAAAATACCAAAATAAAAAATTATTTTTAAGTAAATATACCTCAAAATGACATTCTTCAAAGTCCAAGAGTCATCAACATAATATCCAGTAATTGATATAAATCCTTTCTTATTATTGTTTGATGTCCATATGTCCGTTGTGATAGCAATTCGACTATTAAGCTTGTCCAATATCTCATAACACTTGCTTTTTTCAATCTCATAAATCTTAAAAATGTCACATTTCAAAGTGTTTCTTGAAATCATGTTAAAACATGGCCGAAGATTACCAAAAAAATCTTCGAAAACCAATATGATCAACCATTTTCAATGGATAATTATGCAAAGTCACCATTGTTACAAGATCGTGCCTTGAATCTTCTTGATTAAACACATGGGTTTCAAGTGTTTGACCTCCACCAAGTTTTTTGCTTATCATCCGCATAACACTTTGTTGAATGTCCATTTTTCTTGGTCTTTTTTTACAAACTTTTTCAAGATGTTTCTTCAAATTTGTCGTTCCATAACCACTCGGTACTTTGAGACGGGCTTTGCAATAGTTGCATTATGCATATATCACATCATGAATCCTTTTCCTTTCAAAATGATCACACTATTCCGATGTCCTTTGTCTTTTACAATTGGTGGAGTCATTAGTTTTCAAATTATCATTATTAGTATTTTCTTCAGTTTCTTGTGTATTCATATTTTGGTGAATGCTGCTAACCGACGGAATAGAATTGTCAGCTCCTTCGGAATCCATCTACAAAATAACAAAATAATGCACTTGTGAACTATGAATTATCAATTAAGTTTTTTAAAAAAAAATTGCATAGGCAGCAGACCAGACAACATGCAACACAGGGTTTGAATTCAAGAAACACTGCATTTGAATTAATTTCTAATTTTTATACCAAATAGATTAATAACATTATGAACTATCAAATTATAATTTTTATTATTATTAAATGTACTATTGTAAACGGGCAGTAAACAACAAGCAGAGCAAAGAAAGAAAATTTCACAATAATAATAATAATAACAATAATAATAAATAAATAAATAAAACACCATCATCTTGATTTAGTTTTGAATCAACCGAAAAATCAAAAAAATTCAATCACCACCCCTGGATTTTGAACTCAACCTGAAAAAAAAAAAAAAAAAAAAAAAAAAATCTTCTTAACAACCACCGTGTTGCTGCAATTTAGAACTCAAATTGAACAAAGAAAACTATTATAATTATTTCTTCATTCATTTACTTTTAATTTTTTTATACCCAAAACCCAACAAATAATAGAAAAAAAAATCTCATACACCAAAATAAGTAAAATTACACAATAACTTACCCTTATACAAAAAACAACAGTGCTTAATGATGGAAGATTGAGTTGGAGAATGGATTAGACAAAGAAGAAGGAAGAAATTGACAAGAACGTGCCGTGATGGTGTGTCGCCTGCCTGCATGAAAATAAATTGGGGGAGGGGGTTGCGTGAGAATAAATGGGGGGAGAAGGGCTGTGTGAGAATAAAAGGGGGGGCTGCTGCTAGGTTTTGTGAGGAGAAATATAATATAAATCAGGTTTTTTTTTTTTATTAAGAGACGGGTCGGGTCCGGGTCTGGGTCGGGTCCATGCTCGGACCCTGGACCCAACCCGACCCTTAAATTTTTTTTTGATTTGGACCTAAACCCGATCCTAGACCCAAATATTTGGACCCGAATGGGTCGGATCCGGGTCGGGTCTCAGGTCTACCCGGACCCATTGTCATCCCTAATCATACCATGATGAATAGTGGTTTCAAAATCAATGAATGTTATAAATGTATATACGTAAATATCACTGAGTCATGTTATGTGATAATATGCCTTTACATAGACGTTATACTTATCGTTGGTAGCAACAAATATATCGTTAAGTCTACCAAAGACATGTTAAATTCTAGATTTGACATGAGGGACATGGATCTCGCTGATGTGATCTTAGGAATTAAGATCAACAGAACCGGAAATGGACTAATTTTAAGTCAAAATCATTACGTAAACAAAATCCTCGAAAAATTCAGTAAGGATGATACAGGAATAGCGAGAATTCCACTGGACACAAGTATCCATTTATCGAAGAATCGTGGAGAGGGTGTATCCTAAATTGAATAGCTCGGATAATTGGAAGCTTGATGTACCTGATGAGCTGTACTAAACCCAACATAGCTTATACTATAAGCAAGCTGAGTACGTACACGAGTAATCCTAGTCGCGAGCATTGGAAAGCCATAGTTCGTGTACTTAGGTATTTACGGTACACTCGAGATTACAGGTTGCACTACAGCAGACATCCAACTGTAGTAGAAGGCTACTTAGACTTAAACTGGATATGTGATACTCTCGATTCGAGATCAACTAGTGGATATGTGTTTACACTAGCGGGTGCAACAATCTCTTGGAAATCTTCAAAACAAACAATTATTGTCAAATCCACAATGGAATCTGAGTTCATTGCATTGGATAAAGTTGGAGAAGAGACGGAATGGATTTGCCACTTTCTCAAGGACATTCCAGAGTATGACAAACTTGTTTCTGCCATAACTCTTTACTGCGATAGTAAATCTGCTATTGGAAGAGCAGAGAGTACAATGTATAATGGAAGGAGTCGATACATTCGTCGTTGACTTAATTCCATAAGGCAACTGATCACAACTAAGGTTATTTCGATAGACCATGTTGCGTTAAAAGATAACTTAGTGGATCCACTAACCAGAGGGTTAAACCGTGATGCAGTTTACAAACTGACTAAAGGAATGGGGCTCAAGCCTGCTGAAATATAAGTCTTATAAAGGAAAACCCAACCTAGAAAGATTGGAGATCCCAAGAACTAGGTTCAATAGGACAACCTCCCTATAAGACTTATGTGCGTCACTATGGGGGCTAATAGCCTCGACCCATTTTTGTCAACAAGCGGTGACTGAGTAAGGAGGATAGCAAATGATTGCTTTAATGATCACTAAATAAGAATTATATTACTCGAAAACTTATAAAGATCACCTATGTGAGAGAGAAGTGAGACCACTTCAAAGGAGAATTGTTCAGGCTCAGTTCTTTAGAAAATTTTGCAGAATCAGGACGGGTTCCATGGCCAAAACGGACCAAACTATGAAAACCGAACTAGGTACATGAATTATGTATCAGTATATAACCCACTTACTAAAATACTGAACAATTCAACGACAACGTGTCCACTGGATTTGTAAGGACTATATACTGCTAAAAGGAAAGTTCAAAATGAAACTTACTTATCCCATGCAGAATTCATCTTTCTTTCATCGAGTCATCGTTTTTCCTCTTTCATGTAGGAGATTGTTAGGTATTTAAAAGGTAAAGGAGAAATATGGAAAGGCTATCCCACATTGGAAACATGAGAAGTTTTATGTCTCTTTATATGAATATTCATCTCATTTATGATAGATGACAAAATTGGTTAGGTTAGAGCTAGCTGGGGCTTTGGCTTGCTTGGGCTTGAGCTTAGGGCTTTGGCTAAATTAATAGTCAAATATAGGGCCTTGGGCCTTTGGGCCGCGAAGACTCGTGGCCATACAACTTGAGCCCAATTACAAAAAAATCAATTTTGTATTTTATTATTTTATTTGATTAATTTAATTTGACTTGGAAAATCAAATAATCAGATAAGATATTATTGTTGCAACTTAATTGCAACGTGCAAAAGTGGGTGCGAGATTGACATCTTTCTCTTCACGTGATTAAAACAAAAATAATGCCAAAAACATGATTTTAATTATTTTTTTTCTCCTTTTTAAAAACTCACGTATTAAAATGTCTGAAGAAAATTACTCTCTTCGATGAAAATTACTCTTCTCTGATAAATACTCCTGAAAAATTAATTTTTCTCTAAAAAGCTTCCTACTTCCATTCACAGAATCTGATATTTCGTAAAAAATTTGTTCTATCCTGGGAAACGATCGATAAAGGGGTCGAATTCGCTTCAAGAAAATCGCGTGGTACGCGATGCCCGAATTCATTTAAATCTGATTTTTGATCTCATTATCAGATTTGGTTATTTGATTTTATCACAGCTGGGATTTGCTATTAATTATTCCAACACTGAGTACCTAAATGATAATGGCAAGGATTGCTATATTCCCAAACGTTGCCTATAAACAAGTCAACAAATGTCAAAAATAAAAAACAAAGGAGATCGCCCTGAACTGTTTCTAGTGAGATCGGAACGAGGGGCGGCCAGACTAGACTAGACGAATACCCCTTCACCTTCACAGCATGACAAAGTTGAATGAGAGAAAATTCTCCTTTATTTATGTTTGTGTCCCCAGAACATAAAACCAGTCTGAATTTTGCAAGGACTTGACCTTAGCTGACACCCCTCAATATTCACAATTCATATGTATTACTATAGATAGCAACACTTAATTACAATCTAGTTTTGTTTGGACTCTCAATTTCTTCAAACGTGCAATAATCTTGTCAAACTTGCCACTATATTTATATTTCCTCCTCTTAACATTTCCATCTCCATCATTGTTGGTATTGATATTTGCAGTAGCATTCATCATCACCATATTGCTGCTAACTGTATGATCCTTCTCCTTCTCCTCCTCCTCCTCCTTCTGGTGTTGTTGCAGCATCTGCTGATTATTCTGCTCGCTCTTCTTCTGCAGCAACAAGTCCACGACGCCCTGCAGAGCGAGGATGGAGTCGTCGTTTCTCATCAAGTACTCTGCCACCTCCGCAGGTGTGATCTCAACCTCGCCGATCAGCTTTTTGATCTTGGGGAAGAACTCCGGATGGTCGCTGATTCCTAGATAGTTGAAGGCCAGGATATCAAATCCCGCCGGAGTGCAATACCCCATGTGAATGTGCATGTCCATTCGCCCTGGCCGTAGAAGCGCCGGATCGAGCTTCTCTTTGTGGTTCGTTGTGAAGATGATTATTCGCTCATCGCCGCAGCTTGACCACAGCCCGTCGATGAAATTCAGCACCCCTGACAGTGTCAGCTGTGCATAATTTTAACAAAGGAATAAGAACAGAACAGAATAGAGCAGAGCAGAGCAGGGAGAATGAATGAAATTGTTAAGTACCAACCTTGGTGTTTGGGATGTCATCATCGTCAGAGGTGGAATTGCTGTCCTTATCTTTGTCCCTGTCGTGCATTTGGGCACTGCAGTCGACGTCTTCGATAACGATGATGGACCGGTTGTTGGTGCAGAGAAGCATTCTCCTGAGCTCGGAATTGTCATACACACTGCTCAGCTCCAAATCGTAGACATCGAAGCGCAGGTAGTTGGCCATGGCCGCAACCAAGCTCGACTTCCCCGTTCCCGGAGGCCCGTACAGAAGGTACCCTCTCTTCCAGGCCTTGCCCACTTTCTTGTAATAATCTTTCCTCCTCAGGAACCTTTCCAAATCCTGGATGATGCCCTGCTTCAGAGTCGGGTCCATCGCCAGCTTCTCGAACGTGACGGGATGGTCGAGATTGATGCATCCCCAGTAGCCACAGCCGCCATTGCCGCCGTCGTCATCGTCGTTGTCGTCGAAGGGACAGTCCCTGGTGAACAGCTTCACCGCCCTCTCCTTCTCTTTAATCTCCTTTGCCTTGGCAAGGACGAAAGGCAGGTAGTCGGAGACGACGAGGTCTCTGTCGGCCTTGTTGAAGGTCAGCTCGAAGTAGCGGCGCTCGCCGGCGCCGGGGAATCGGCGCATATTACTGTTATTGTTATTGTTATTGTCCTTTTCGGGGTCGACGATGACGTACTGCCAGGTGAGGCGGGTGCCGTTGTGATGGTCGATTACCTGCTGGTCCTTCTCCATGCTGACGACGATGCTCTTCTGCTTGCGGGTCTTGTTGACCTTGAGGCGGTCGCTGTCCGGGTTGATTTTGGTGCGGAGATACACCTCGGCGGCGTCGTAGATCTGGTTGCGGCTGAACCCGCTCTGCTCGTCCACAACCATCGTCATCCTGGCGGAGGACATGGCGCCGAACAACCGGCTGAGTGCCGAGTAGAGAAACGACTTTAGCGGTTCGGGGATGATGTCGCGCGCGATGGAGCGGAAGAGCATCATCGACGCCGCCATGGATGCGTAGGCCGAGAAAATGTTGCCGGCCATCGACTGCATTTCCCCCATCGAGTACTGCATCTTTCTTTCTTTCTTTCTCCGTATGAGTGTGTATATATAAGAGAGGGACTACAGGTAGCTACGTACATGTGTTGAGTGGGAAGCTTAGCGAGCAAGGAGACGGAACTACTGTTCAGTACTATACTATTCTATTCTCATATTATTTAATAGTTGACGCGGAGACTTGACAGTATTGAATTGGCGGGTGCACAACTTGTGCGGTACAGAGGATTGCCGCTCGGCTTGGGCATCACGCTCACAGTGGCATAAAGAATTCAACAAAAGAAAAAAAGGTGTAAGCTCCCAATAATCTAAGACGCCGTACCAATCCAAATCGAATGTTTACCATAGCTTTCTGTGGAATTAATTAAAAAATAGTACTTTCGTCGTCTCAAACACCGTGCAATATTTGTATTTTACATAAGAATTTAGGTGGAGAGTATTAAATATGATAATTTGAGATAATTTGAATACTAAGTGATATGATTGAAGAGAAAAATAATTACTTATTTTTTTATTTGAGTGATATAATGTGATAAAGTAAAGTTTATATTAATATATGTATAAAAATATTATTAATTATTTCTATATTTAAAAATATTACAATAAATTTAGAACAAACAAAAAATTAAAATATTGTAAAGTGTTTGAGACGGATGAAATACTAAGTATTAAAATTATTAATACGCGGTACCAATCTTTCACCACTAAACAAATATTTGTTCTGCCACATGACCATTTCTTCTTTTTCTTTTGTTTCATAAATATATGTATATATATATTCTTAATAAATTTATTAATTTAAATATATTTAATAAATATAAATCAATCTAATATATTTTTTTACATCTTATATATAAAATCCTCTTAATCTTTTTTTTTTTGTTATCAATTAAAAAATATTGTTATTTATCTTTAAAATTTTTAATTTTTTTAATTAAATTAATTTATAGTAATAATAAATAGATATATATATTTTTTATTTGTATTATATAAAATTTTATTTTATACATTATATTCATATTGTATATATTTTATTGAAATATAATATTAAAAATCCGTTATTTTTAAGAGTGTATTTTTTTTAATAGATTTCGAAAAAAATTTGGTTTGTGTTTGGTATTAAAATATGGAGGGATATTTTGAGAGAAGAAAAAATATTTTTTTTTCGAAAAACATAAAGTCCAAATAATACTCATTCTATCTCATATCTATCTATCTGTTTGCTTTTTCACAGAGTTTTAAAAATATTAGTACTCCCTCCGTCCGCTTACAAAGTTAACATTTTTTTCATTTTGGGTTGTCCAAATACAAAGTTTACATTTTTTTTAGTAAGTGTGGACCCCACTCCATATTATACATACCCTTACTTTTACACTTATTTACATAAATACCACTACATTTATTTATACATCTATTTTTAAATAAACACAATTATCAAAATTAAAACAAAACAATTAAAACTAAAACACAATTATTAAAATAAAACACAACAATTAAAATTAAAACACAACCCCTAATATATATAAAAAAAAAAAAAATTACTCTCACCTACCCTTCTCATATTCATTCTCACGATCCTTTTGTGTTCTTAGGGTTTTCTCACGATCTTCATCTTTGTCGTTCTCTCTGGATCTTGCTTCCGCCGTCTTCGTCGACCACCGGTATGGCCCAAAATCGCTTCAATCGCGATCGATTGGAGGATATATCAAAGGATCCTCTTCGGGCTTTGTCCATCGACCTCGTTCGGCAGTCGCCTGCGAAGCCCTATTCCGATCTTTCCCTCCGTGACTCTGAACTTTACAGATCCATGGTACCAGAGACGTGCGGGACTTTCGACGGCAAGCTTGAGACCTTTGAGATGGGGGGCTTCGGCCGTCTGTTGAGAGGCTTTGCTCATATACGAGCTCGGAATCTCTGACCTCTAAGGTGCCGGAATTGCCCCACTTGTACTCCGGCTGGGTTGTGCCAGACTCCGAGGATGCCTTCCTCTGTCCGTTGCCGGTTGTCGTTCAAAGAGAAATGACAAAAAAAACCCTTATAGCCGGAATTGATGCTCCTAGCCGCCGCGATGTGTTCCTTCAGTTCTTGAGGATTTATTGTCCTCTTGCGACCACATTGCCCAAGTACTCTGAGGTATACCTTCTATGGCTTTTTTTTTTTTTTTTAATGAGTACTTGGAGTTGGGAAATTCAATTTTAGTGGCTGAAATGATGAATTTTTGTGTTGATTATGTGCAATGTAAGTTGTTGGTTGTGTGTAGTGCATATTGTTTATGGATGGCTTACTCCGTGAGTAATGCACTAGATATGCGCAAGATTATTTGCCTAAATAGCTTCCACTCGATGACGATTTTCTTCCGAGAGTGTACCGATCGTGCATAGTTATAATGGATGCTTACTGTATCAGTAATGCAACCACTGTGCATTTGAATTCGTAGTCACTGCCCCCCACTCAATGAGGGTTATCATCCGAGAGTGTACTGATTGTGTTCTTTGATGGCCCTGTGATGCATATTTTATTTGGAGGCTTACTTTTAAAGTAATGCAACCCGTGTGTATTTGAATTCGTAGTCACTGCCTGCCACTCGATGAAGGTTATCATCCAAGAGTGTATTGATTGTGTTCTTTGATGATCCTTTGATGCATATTGTATTTGGAGGCATTACTTCTACAGTAATGCAATCACATGTGCATTGAAATTTGTACGCCGCAACCTTTACTCGATGATGATTAGTATCTGAGAGCACTGAGAGTGAGTTCACAACACTCTGTGATGATAATTGTGAAAATGACATACAAAAAGTGTCACATATGCATATACATCCCATCCAAAGAGTTGTTGGGCGTACAAATTGATTTAGTTATCCTACAAAAGAGACTATTGGTTATTACTTAAACAACCTCTCTAAGTGGAGGTGTTTTATAGAAATAACCATAACTTCTCATATCATAAAAAACATGTTCTACTACACCTAAGCATTCATCTATTACTAAAACTCCTCTAGAGAAGTTATAAAGTCCTTCAGGCCTTCTGCTTTATTTAAATCCATCAAATGATCAATACATGTCTTGATCATTTCATGGTCAACTTGAATGTCTTCCGGGAGATTCCCTGACCTTCTCAAAGATTCTTTTCCTAGGTGATGGATCTTATAATTGTTTGATCCGAGATTAGCCATTATCTCACCAAGGCATGCTTGCAAACTTAAAAAAACTGAGTTTAGAGTATGTGACAGTTGTTCAAATGATTTGTGAATTGCTCCAAGTAAGTCATCTACTGTGGTACCTGGCTGTGTAATTGTAAAGATTGCAGTGCCCGGAACCATCCCAAGTCATTCACATTTGTGTCTGAGTTGTTCGGTGGTTGAAACACCAAATTGATTTTCCATCCATCAGTGCTTGCTGCTTGTCTGAAATTTGGATCAAGATTGTTGATGTGTGGCTTTGCGTTATCTTGTTGAATTGTGACATTCTTGTCCCTAATAGTTGGCCACTTCTCCTTTATTGTTCGTATCACCTGTTATAAAGTCACCAATGAGGATTACTCGCGTAATTCTTATTTAGGAGACTTATACTTGTGATCGATATACCAATGATGAGATGTTTCTGAGGGATAAGAAAGTCTAGGTATAGAAATACAAAGTGAAACAACATACCTTGTTGATTAAAAGTTCCTTTGTTATTTCCTTTGTAATGGATTCTAATGGTTTTGTAATCATTGTCTCGGCTGCTCTATTCTTTGAACTTCTTTGGGCTGGAACTTTTTCTGTAAAAGGAAAAATACCTATTTTCCCATCGAATATGCATTCTCCACTGCTTGTATACATCGGTCTAGCGACTGCACATAAGAACATTACCTTCGTAATAAATTTTTTACTCTGACAGGCCCTATACGGCTCTGGCTCATCGGGTACTAGATAGTATCTTTCCGTCTCCCTTGTAAGATTAAACCATTTTTCATCTATGTGCACAACTTGTGTCATGCTTCAGAATTTGATTACTTTCGATGCACTGTCTATCTCTAGTGAGTTGAGACTGAACTTCAGCCTCTCTATCTTGTTTTTCTCGCTGAGGGAAGGCTTGATAGCATTGGTGTGCAGTCTGATCAGCCCCGATTTTGCCCAATTCCCGACAGTACTCTTACTTACATTCATCTCTTTCGCAATATTTCTATAAGTGTCTCTCTTATGCACAACTATATTTTGTAAAGTTGTTTTTATCAAACTCCTTCTTTTAACCTGAGGAAGGTCTATTTTCTTATATTTTTAAAGAAATGGGTTGACCTGACTGAATTTGCTCGTGTGCTCTTTTCCAAATTCTATGGATGACTTGTCTATTTACACCATACTTTGAACTTGCTTCAGTAATTTTCCCATGAACTGATTTCCCGTTGGTAGACCCCTGCAAGAGAAATTGTGCAATGCTATTATTAAGATCATTGGCTGCTAAATTTTGTTTTTTCATATTTCCAGTCATTGTGAACTAAGTTGCTGAAATATGTGATCTTATTATGTATATATAGTGTAGTTTAATGGGGGAAATGTGTATTTGGTAATGGAGGGAAAGTTTCCTTTGATGAGAAGGGTTAAGATGATGTGACAATGATGTGATTATCCCTCTTTGGAGGGAAATGAATTATGTTTTGGAGGATGTTTTGTGGATTGTTTTTTTTTTTTTTTTTTATCTGTGTTCAATATGATTTTTATTGTGTAATGCCATGATGATTTATCGCGATTTGTACTGATATATCGCACTGTCTACTGATTTCTCTTTCTCAATGTATGATGTTACAGTAAAATTAAGGTTTGTCTACTAATTTTCCGTTCTCGATGTATGATGTTACAAGATGATAATGGTTTATGCACTGTGTTTTTATTTCCTAATTATGCACACTTTTTTTTAAAAAAAAAACATGAATATTGTCTACTTAATTATGTGCATTGTAAATTAAGATTTTTGCATTGTAGTTAATTATGTAAATTTTAAATTTAATTTTAATTTTTGTAA